CAGGCCTTGTATGGGTGTAAATACCTTATGTTCCAAGTCTGGTAGACTGTGCCGCTACTGGCGGTGGCCTGATCCCCTTGTAGGATTGCCATCGTGCGACGCACATGTCTACATCCAATCTCCGGAGAGTTCCCCGCACTTTAATTCATATGTTCTCCTTGTCCGACTGATGTCGTGCCTTCCGTGACCCTTGTCAGGGGGCGAATGCAATACACGGCTCTTAGCCTTATTTGCGACTCGATCCTAGATAGGGTTTGAGTTCGACTCATGACTGAGTCTCTCGTGAATAGTCATTGAGACAGGGTTCTCAATGACCGCTCTAGTCATACTAGGTTGATGATGAAACATCGCTCTAGATATTTAGCCAGCGTGGAGTACTTCCACGCTACTAGATAAATGCTAGACGAATCTTCCACGCGTTCCGTTTTTGGATCGTGGAGTGAGTAGGTTGCGGTAGCAACCTACTCTATCACACTCTACAGTCTCCCGCGGGAGTTCAGATCTACGATCCTTTGATTGTGGATCTCTCTCGTTGATTAGTTTTCATAGCTTTCTAATCCTCTCATAACTTTCATTCTCTCAAACTCAAAACACTCGAAAGATCTTTACACTAGCTTTTAGCGTAGTGCAACCGTGACAGCCGCTGCCTTTGACGTGGAAACTGGAATACTGAAGGAAGTGCGTTCCGTCTATTTGCTGCGAGAAGCCGACAAGGCGGACCGAGCACATCATTGGGGTTCTTCGGATATTGCCCTCCATCCCAATGGCAAATTTGTATATGTTGGTTGTCGGTCGCCGTCGCCCGGTATCATTTGCATTTTGCAAGTCCAAGGAAAAGGAAAGGATTGTCCGTTGTCCGTAGTGGGACATGAATCGACTCGAGGAGAGGTGCCTCGCAATTTCAAGTTAATCCGAGATGGTACCTGGTTTGTGGTGGGAAATCAAGAAGGCAAGAATGTTGTCAGCTATGCTGTCAATTCCAACAATGGCATGCTGGAGTTTAAGAGCGAAATCGGCACCCTACAAAGCTTGCAATATTGCCAGCCCCGATGCCCTGAATGCCTGAATCATTGAGACGTGGAATGGAGAATGGCTGCCACTCATCAAACTCTAGATGCATTTGATAATTAGCTAGCTCTTGCTGACAAGACGTGTGTCCTGACCAGTGCCAACTGCGTACGGGTAGAAAGGGTTCGTTGGAGGCTCGTATTACAGAAGGTACACTTACTCCGGTAGCCAGCCAATCCTGGCTGCCTCCCAAGATTGAGAGTTGATCGAGAAAGCCCTGAGATACTCCTACTTAGAAATTGACTCGTGTTCCTGAATACTTCCAGTCGTTCAAAGTCAGACTAGCTAGTTTGGCAATTTTGCCAAGATGAGATGGAATTATCATCTTGTCGCTGCTTGCCCTTTGGATGAGTGTTCTGTAATGGATTGCAATAGGATACATAGTGGTACGTCGCACGACAGAGTTTGACTTGCCAAAACATACGAGGCGGGACATACAGCCCTTGCTGGCAGAGGGTGTATTCTTTTGAGACAACACCACGGACATCGTGACAATGGGGACGATTCGATTCCTTCTCCTAAGGTATACTTTGGAGGACTTCACACTGCTCTGATTGTATGGTATTATACATGTAACCTTGGTTCGAATTGGTTCTGTCATGGCACAGCAATACTAGTGAGGGGCTTGCATCTGCACTCGATCCTGCCTCCCATTGTGGAATCGCCAATCAATATCCAATGCTGTGGGGCTGTCTTTGGAAATATAGCAGAGGCCATAATCGAATCCTGTCTTGCAACAGCTTATCCTACGACGAGCATTGCGCTTGGATGGGTCTGGCAGAGGGACGAGCAGCCCACGAACAGGCAACCAGGCACCGACCTTGCCACCCACGCACGCTATTTGTGGGATCCATTCGTGAATCTGTTCATTATTTCGTTTGGAGTTCACTGCTGCTTGGGGGCTGGAATTGTTATGACTCGTTTCCATTCTGCGGAGGCATTTGTGGGCATCTCGGGCCCACGGGTATCTTTACAAGGACTAATGCAAGGGCCAAGAAATGCTGTGAGCGGAAACCTGTGGAGATCTTTATCAGCATTGCCAGTACCGTAGCAACCATGGTGAATGCTTGCTACGCTGCTAGCAACATGTATGCATAGCTAGAAAACAGCACTGATACGGTAGTGTTTGAACGATGTGTGAGCGGGGAAACGAATGAAGGTGGCTTTCGTTCTCGGTACATGTACCGCACCGGTGACCAGTGGATGTCGCTGTTGCCATCGCGAGAACTGTTAAGCACAGTCGTTCCGTTAGGTTCAAGTCGAGGCGTCGATATGACTTATGGGTTGTTGAACGCTCTTATTTCTACCCTTATCATGTTTTCTCTTTACTGACGTAAGCGTCTGGCATTCACACAACCATTACATCCGGGTTACTTTCGTGCAAGATTTGTTGCAACCTGCTTCCGAGCCAATCAAATGCAAGAGATGCGTTCGTTACAGTGCAGAAGTTCTCAAAGACATCATCTTTCTCACAACGAACTTGGGATCCAGTGATTCAGCGAAAACAAACATCATCCTCGTCCATTTGGTTTCTGTTCCCAACCAGGAACGCAATCTTTTCTTTGTTTCTTTCCCACGCACTCGTTGTTATTTTGAAGGCAAAGCAAAGCCAAGAGATCCTCTCACTTTCCTGCAGAATCTACCGTATCGAATCAAGTTAGTTGATCCCTTTTCTTTATCCTCTTGAAACAATTGAAACCATGACAAAGCTATCTCTTTTGGCTGCTACACTCCTGGCAGGTGCCTGTAGTTCTGTGGAATCCTTTTCCGTGTTGTCGTCTAGGCCCACAAGATCTTCTTCTACAAGGCTGAATCTAGTCCCTGAGCAAGGCAAGCAATTGGAAGCTGCCGTCACTGCTGCCTACGCCAAAGCCGAAGAAGAATCATCCAGTAGTAGTACTGCTACCCTCACGCCACCACCATGCCCCAAAAAGCGCTTGTCTTCGGCTCGTGCCTTTGTGTCTCGCGTCTTTTCCTTGCCATCCGTTATCCGAGGACATCCCCACCCCAAGTTGGAAGGCTTATCCGAAGATGATGCTGCACTTGAAACCACTACGTGGGAATGGCAAGACGGGCCCCAAGACGATGTGGTGCTGTTTCCCTTGGTGGGATTTCAGTTCGTCCAAGATGCCCCCAATCATTATGGGGTCCTTCCCTCGTCAACCGCGTGCAATCCATCCTGTCGCCTCCGCACCAACGCGGCGGACGAGGAGCACGTCGGATGGTTCAGCAAGGCATGCCATTTGCAAAATCTGTATGCCGATAACTACTGTGAGGAGCCGACCAACTAAGAAAGAAGAAGATCATGAAGAGCGCGTTGTCAGTGAATCCAATTGACACACAGGCAACGAATATAATATATGAAGTGAACAAAGCAAACAAACAATCAATCAATCAATCAATCCACGTGAATGGAACGGTATCTCTCAAGCAAAAAAGGCAAACAGTGGTGCAAAGAGACAAAAACCAGATAACAACGGACGATGCCGTGCAAAGCTGCGTTTATGGAACAAGGGTGGCTGCTTTGCTTGTACCGGTACATACATACATACAAGAAGGGAGAGAGAAAGAGACTTGAGCGAGTGAGTGAGTGGCTGGTCCATCCATCACCAACCAACCAACAAAAAGCCATGCATATTATCCCAACTCAATGATGATCCACATGAAACTATACAGTAGTCAATTCTTGACAATGTAAACTAGAAAGTACGTTTGTTTGACAGCATCGATGGATCGCTATGGCTACTGTGCTTGCGCATGATGGATGGAACCTGTGATGCTCTGCTGTAGGCTGGTACTGTACTGTACACTCTCAGCTACCAAGCGACACGCCTTCTTGCAGTTCTCTCAAGTGGCTGGCGATTAGGAACAAGGACATGCCCTCGACTAGCTCGACTGTCTCTGATTGACACATACATATCGTCACCTGAATCAATGCATTTGTTGTTGCATGCAATTAAAAAACTAACGTAGCCATCGCGTCCTCGCCCAACAACAACCTGCCGTGAGAAGGAATTGCCACTAGAACTTCTGGTCGTAGTCTGGCTGCTGTGCACTTGACTACTGGTAGCTCTCTCTCTCTCTCTCATTACTTTCAGGCGTGTTTCTAGCTATCGTTCTGAAAGGATAAAAGTCAGGGGCTTTCAACGAGACAGGCGGCGCAGCCTTTTCGCTACTTTCTTCGAGGCAGGTTCATCAAAGACTGGTACAACTCTGGTGGTAAATGACACATACCGCTACATCCATGGTGCTTGTTCTGTTTCAGTTTGTGCGTCAGTCCTTAGTAGGGGGCATTCTTTGCGAGTGACCATCGGTGACTGCTGCATTCTTCGTCCAATGGGCCAAGCAAATAATGTCGCTCACAAAGAAAACGGACCTCAAGCTCGCCAAGAGGGAGGAGCAGCTCGGACCCTCGAGGATCAACAAACTTTGTGTTATCATCAACGAAACCAACATTTGCCGCAGTTCACAGGATTCGGGGGACATGCAAAGGACACCGGCAAAGGAAGAGAGGATGGCTCTTCGTCATTTGTTCGCTACTCCCGTGCGTCCAACGTGGCCAAATGGCTTCAACAGCCAAGAAGCAAGGACACTTGCGAGCCAAAAACCTCATTGATTGAGGCGAGTGAAGCCATCGGTAGTGTCTCTCAGTGCTCTTCGGCAGCTACTAGGCTAGGAAGATCGAGTCACCTCGGGGAGGCACGGCCCAAAAAGCGGGTTGCATGTAGTAGTGAACGACACAACAAAAGCAAGCCAACCTGGCTAGCCAGCCAATATCTGTTTGAAAAGCACTCAGTTTCCGTCTAGCTAGAGTTGAGAAATGGCCACTGAGTCGACCAGCGCCCTTCGTTTCGGCACCTTCCAGCCAAGTTCACCTCTCTACCAGCAAGTTTTGCGGTGGAAGCAAGCCATAGCCACTCTTTGTGGTTACCCACGAGGCTCTTTTATGTTACCCATCATGCTGCGATGAGTAGCAAGTTTCTTGGCCATTCAGCTGACTCCAGCAAACCAACTGCTCAGTACCTACTGCCGGTACGGTAGCTGGCTGGAAAAGCTGAGCACTGACACACATCATGTCGACAGTCGACAGGCTTTCTAGCTATGATACACAATCGGCAAAATGAAACTTACCTCGCCGAGATGACGTTCACTCGACAACGAAATATTGAAGATGAAAAGACACCTCAAGCACTAAGCACACTTCAGATGTTTTGAACGATGAGGTTTCTTAAATTGCGTTAAGTCTTCCTATTATCAGTTTCTGATTCGATCATTCGATCAGTGGTGACGTGAGCGGAGCTCTGCGAACACCTCAGGAGAGCCAACAGTGTGACTTTCTGCAAAAGCCAGCAACATGTACCGGAACCTCGTAGTGTCTGGGTGCGGCTGCACGCATCCAGTGTCAAGAAACCTGCCATTGCTACCACCTTTAGCACAACTTGAACGAAACAGTACCGTGTCAACTCCCACCAGCTGCGATGCTGTTGGGCCTTGGCATCCTGATTCGATTGTCGGTTGTTTGGTCAACTCGCTCCACTCACAATTCCAAGTTGAGAGGAAGCTTTCAAAAACACCCAATAAAATGGCAACACCCCTACATCAATTCATGGCCCAATGGGCTAGTTTGCCGGTTCGCAACATTGAATCTGACAATGCTCAGGGGCACGAGCGAAGGAGGGCATCTGCTCTAGCGATCCTTGTACCAAAGCCGGGGCATTGCTGTGGGGAATGCCGATGGAGAAGCGCCCCCAGCACTGAGCTTGAACTTTGCAACATGCACACACATGGCTCCCCACCAACACCCAAACCGCAAGGCAGCATGAATTTGAATGCGAAGAAGCCACGTCGCAGCCACGGAAGCCCAAGATACCCCAAAAGATGTGATAGCGTTGACGAGTCATCCGCAATCCCCGCACATGCATCTCCACCTGCGGCTTGATTTGTTTCATATTCAAGTCGATAGAGTGCACAAAGTTTCATCGCCCAACCTATGATGTTGTATAGTTCATGACTGTAAGGTACACCAGAGCAACGATTGTCGCTGTACAAACAGAATTCCTCCCACCCCCAAAACAAACAAACAGACCACTAAGAAATGCAAATAGAAGAAACAAATAGATTGTAGAAGCTCTAATAGAATGCATATCTCAAAGAGGTACCACTCTTGGGCTCTCAGGCTCCGTTTAGGTACTGGCGTTGTTGCTGATGCTGTTGTCGGGACGTCGGGGCTATAGGGGTCGTGTCCTTTGTTGCGCTGTGAGGACATTGCTATGTGTGGGGGGGGGGGGCTCTCAACCGATTGGTTAGTCTAGCCCACTTGGAGTGCGGAATTGAATGCTCTGTGACAACTGCTAGATGCCAACACCAAGCACAAAAGCCAAACCAAAGTCCTCTCTGGTGGTCAGCGTTATTGCCGTGCGTATGGTATTACGGCCTCCTGTGAAGGATGGGTGTGATTTGAATCTGAGGGTGCAGGCAAAGTCAATTGGTTGCTGTGCTGGACGACAGAAGCTCCGTCTGCTGGCTGTTGACCAGAACAATAGCAGAGACGATTACGAGCAGCTTTGGAGTGTCAATGATGGAAACTGGCTAGTGCCAAATTGAATTCCCCGTTATTCAGTTTGCATGTTGGCAGATTCGAAGCCCGCATCAACTAACTAGAAACAGGGGATCCCTTTCTTAGCCCACTTTCGGCTATTAACTCAACTCCCCGTTGCATGGCTCGGGACCGTCCGACGGTTTTCGCCCAGGATTTCAAAACTGCCATGACTGACTCGACTCAAAATCCTGGTACGGGATGTTTGACCGTGCTAGAATGCGTGGCAAAACGCTCGGCCGATCGCTTGATGGGTGCCAGTAGCTGTGCCAGTGCTGCTTTTTAAAAAAACAATCGCTGCTGAAACACTTCAGACTACTACGGTATGCCCATACTTCTGTAGTACTGTACTAGTCGAAAGGACAACAGAACCGCAGCAGAAGACTCAATACCGGAACCGAACATGTACTGTACATGCCCTTTTTTGCCACCTCAATTCCGCAATACCCAGCAAGCGGCCCCTCAGCAGGTTGCTCGCCTACATGGGCAGGTTCCAAGAAACTCCATTGACCATACTACCCTTCCCCTGACTTTCTAGTAGGTGTCGATCCTGCGGGTGTTTTGCAGTGAACCGAGGTAGTGCGAGAATCGAATCGAATAAGGCTACCACGTACCAAAGGCCAGCAGGAAACCTACTGAGGACAAAGCAACGGCAGGAGCCCCACCAACAACCAGATGAGTGAGTGATGCGTCCAACAACAGGTAGGTACGGCCTGTAGGCCTGTAATCCTGTAAGCCTGTAAGCCAAGATATGAGTTTTTTACAATAGAGCTACAGTACTTTCGAGGTTGGAACCCGCACGTGGGGATGGTTGGGCTGGAATTCATCGTGATGTGCCTTTATACTGTGCTAGCTAGCTACTGTACATGTAGTAGCTATGTAGTTGTACAGGCTGGCTGGCTACCGTAGCTACAACTCTACCAGCGGGTACGGTACTGTACCTTGTAGCTAGTTAACTTGTGGCATTGAACAGAAAAGATGCATTCGTTGATGTCCAGTGAGACAGTTCATCCGTGTTCTCACCAACAGCTTCCGTAAAAACTGGCATGATTTGATACTGTAAACTGTAAAGGTGCAAAGGTACCAGGTACACGTGTACAGGTACTGCGGTACAAGAAGACTGGGCTCTGGCAGTGTTCTGCCCACAATCAAGATACAAGATATCATTCATTGCATGTATTACTAGTAATAGACTAGCTAGCTAAACTATTTACATGTACTACTTTGCTCGGAGTATTTGATGTCAGGCCACAGTCAACACTATTCAGTACTCTAGCTAGTAGCTAGCTAGCTAGCTAGAGACTAGCTAGCTATTAATAGTAGAGTCTTCTCTAACGATTCTCGCCAGATAAGTTGCTGCTGTAGATGGACGTTTCATGGAAGCTGTGATGTCAGCCTGGCTAGCCTGAACAACCCTGTGGCGTCTTCATAATATTTACCTCCGGTTGTCTTGAGTTGCATTTTCACTTTTGCAAAATCGAACTCTCGAAGCAAAGCCTTCACGCTCTGGCCGGGGAACGACAAGACGACTACCACAACCCAAATGACAACCACGATGGAGCAATGGTCGAGAGCAAACTTCGCAGCAGCACTTGAGTTGACAGTCGTGATTTGCTGTGATAATGCGCACGGTCATTCAGTGAACAGCAGCCCGCAAGAGAAGTACACTGCAACCAAAGGATCATCAGTTGAGATGAACTGGGGTACAAGACCTGGCCGCCAACGCAGAAGAAGGGATAGGGACCTGGCATCGCACAGGCGCCAGAGAAAAGCAACACAAGAAGTACCATTCCAACGACCTGAACAGTCCCATGGTCACTCTTCTTGCTCCTCTGGTGGTCGTGCTTGCCAGGAGTGTCGCTGGCAAAGCATCCCTCTCACCGGGAATAACATCCAGAAGTCACAGCTTCCACAGAAGCCAAAAAGGAGATCTGTTTCTCCTGCTCCATCTCCCTCTCCTCCCGCCGCCTAAGATCCCCTCTCCAAATTGCAGCCAGCCAGGTTATGGCTGCATCCAGACAAAGACCTGTACTATCTCGCCACAAGGCTGACCGGACCAAGAACGCTTGCTTGAACCGGCACCCCCGTTGTAAACTAAAAACTGAATGGTTTCATGACATTCCGGCCGGG